AAAAGGTCTGGGTCGTAAAAAGGAGCATGGCCTTGATGAGCTTTAAACCAGTTGAATCAAGAAATGATTTCTATAACTGTAAGCCAGGCTAAGAATGACTAGGTAATACCCCAAAATAATAACAGTAATGTTAAAATACAACCTGAAATAATGCCACCATTTAAGTCAAATTTTTAAACAGGTGTTACAGTAAGTGTTACAGAAGATCTGAAAGTAGCAATTCATTGAGTGACAGCACTGGTCTAATTTTAGCAATGCTCCTTGATAGTTGAGGAAGAGGAAGAGGAAGCTTTTGAAATCATAATAATGGTGAGGAATTTATTTTGTCTAAATGACATATACATAACATCCCTGCAAACCATCTTCCAAATATAACTTTACTTTTTTAGATCAGTGAATGTGTTTTTTCTAATTTAAATACACAACAATACACAACAAGAACCTGAAATTTGATTTGGAAAATGGTCATCATTAATCCAAAGAATATAATATAATTAATTAATTTTATAATTTTAGTACATAGGCTACAACCTACAACATGCAAGAACATAGGTATGGACCAGAGTGGAGGGTCTCCGTTTTCATGGTGGAAATATGAATTATGAGCATGGTGGCTTACATTTGATGATCGTGAAAGAGAGAAGTTCGTTCCTGGTGGAGGATATTGACCTTGGGGTTATCGCCTCCAGACTTTAGCTGTAAAGTCGAGGGAGAAGTGGGTGGTTTGCAAAGTATTGCCGTGGAGTTAGATGTCTTCTTTATATGCCTGAGCATGTACAGTGAGTCTTTTTTTCTCAAAAGCTGCTCCAATTTTCATACTTGGAACTTTTGTATGCTGAAGTTTCTAGGTATTTGAGGGTACTGTGGGTGAAAGCATAAAAAAAATGGTAACTCTAGACCTGCTTTCTAATCTCACAGTCAAAAACTGTGCAAATTTACTGAAATGACGTGTGATCTCCCTGTATAGCGTTAATAGCTCTATATCCTGATAATAGAGTAATTAAAGTGGTTTACTGAATCATCAGATCTAAAATTATCTCTGAATTCAAATGCAGGCAAAGTGAACGGGCTACAATTTTGTTCCAGTTTTAGATTGCATGCAGAAAAGGCATCTACCACAGAAAAACAGCCTTTATAACTATGTCCCTGTGCCAAGTGCCCCACCACTGCTCCCTATAGGCATCAATTACCTGTGTGGAGCATTTCTCCAGTGACTGTATTGCACTGTCAAGGGAATCCCCTCTTCAATTTCATTGAGTAAGAAAATCCTTTCATGCACTAAATGCTCCTATCTAGGTTAAGTGGTTTATGATGCCTTGGTAGAAGGCAGAATGCCTGCCAGTGATGGTTTCCCTTGTTTAACTAGTCACTCCACATTATCTGATTGGCTGACTTTAAATTAATCATTCATTACTAGCGTGTCAGTGTTTGGTGTAGCGTACTTGCAAACTAGGTCATTTGGCACGAATGAATGTGCTCTCAGGTTTTACAGGAATGGACATCTTGCACAAGCCTCTGAACATACCACACACACTGCTACAAAAATCCCACTATTCAGCCATTCGTTTATTTGTCACACAGTCATGTTCGACTTGGCACTTTAAAAGCACGTACATTACACATAAAAACACATGACTGAACAGAACTAAATGTAGTAATGTTTTACTTCACACAAGGTGTATATTATATGGTGTTCCAGTAGTAACATCATTGTAGCTACATTAACGTAGTATTTATATACTGAGTGGACATTATGAAGGCTAAATCTGAATAGCTAATTTTGTGCCCATGTGGAGGCAGTGGAAACAAGCTGTAAACACACTGACATATTAGCATAATTTAAGTTATATGACAAACCTTTTTAGCAATTGCCAATTTACTCACCCAGCAGACACAGAGCAACATTAAAACTGATTTGGATTTGTGTTTCTGGCGACTCAGCAAATGTAAGTCCAACATTCACTATCCTTTTAGCTCTGTTGTTGCTCTCCACCAACACATGAGAGAAATATCTGGCTCTTTAGAGGCTAAATGCTATGTTCACCAGCTATTGCTAACTTTGTCTGCTGGTAAATTTTGTGATTTTCACTTACTGTACATTTTGCAGAACAACGCTGCCTGCCACAGTCAAAAACAATGTTGATGTAAGTAGTGAGAGTGCACCAAAACTGTAAGGTTGCGGGCAGGAAACCCAAGCACTAAGCTGAAAGATGCTAAAACGACCTCTAGAGCTAAGGGAAATTGTGAAGTTGGTAGATAATTCTCTGACTTTGTCACTACGAGCGACCTCTTCCACATACAAGTGGCCGTGATCCATTGTTGATGTAAAATATTGGTTATAGCCGCTGTAAAGAAATAGTTTTTTGGTGATTGTCCCATTAAGGTCTACATTATCAATTAAAGCCTGTGTTAACCAATACATTTGATATTAACTTCGTAAAATAATTAGCTGACCTTGCAGCTGTACTGACTGGTGGATGATAATGTTTCTCTGTGTCTGTTGGATGTGTCTGACATAACAACTTCATAATCCTGCTATATAGTTGTGCCTGTGAGTTTGTCAGTTTGGTTTGGGTATTGTTTTGCTCTCTAGTGGCCAAAACATTGATCAATGTAACTATTTCTAAACTAAAATGTTATACTGTTAATTTTTTATTTTTTTTATTTTTTACAATTTTACACATTAAGATCAGTTTACATGTCATGGAGAGTCTATGAAACAGATGTATAATGTCTTCTGTGGTTCTTGAAGAGAGAATGATGCTGATGGTGTCATCAAGGTAATCTTGACATGGCTTTGGAGAATACACTTTATTTTAAAATATATTTTTGGGGCATTTTTTGCCTTTATTTTGATAGGACAGAGGATCGAGATGAAGTGAGTGAAAGATAGGGGGCGACACGCAGCAAAGGCCACAGGCTGGATTTAATTCTGGATTCCACTGCAGAAAGGACTCAGCCTTGAACATGGGGTGCGCACTCTACCAAGTGAGCTAACTGCGCCCGAGTGACTACACATTTTTAACAAAAAGTAACAAACTGAGGGGTATGGAAAACATGTTTTTACTATGGAGTTTAATTTTGAGAAGTGTAGGATTCAATTTAGCTTTACCCATACTAGGTTATCTCTCGGCCCCTGCCAAACAAATTTTGACCCCAAGTCCCCACGTTGCTGGAATGTCCCTTTAATCTATCTAGCCTTTCAGAAAAGGTATTTAGTAAACCATTCCCATTTAGTACACTTTTAGTTCATATGATATAGAGAGCATATTTATTTTTAAAAAGCCAACATTACCAGGTATCTCTTATTGATAAATCCCATTTGCAAAGCTTGTTGTGTCCTGTGTGAGAGTCAGTGCCCTCTGTCGAACAGACACTGTGCAGCGTTTCCTGAAGGATTGAGGTATTCCCATGGTGTACATCTGTAGGAAACATGACATGATTACGATCTTCATGCTATAATTACTATCTTCCCTCTCAGAGAAGCCATCACACGTATCTCTATAGAAAATGTAGCCACATCCAGTGAGTTTCAGTTCCTTGCTTGTACACCCTCCTCACAGACATCGGGGGTTGGCATGCAAATTAAATTACAGAAGATATAGAGCTCCATAGGGTATTGAGAGTGTGTGTGATGTGCGTATCTGTGCATGTGTGTTTTTAAGTGTATGGTGAAAGAGAAAGATCACATAACCGCTAGAAATGCAGGCAATACAACTACAGTGCTATAGAAAAAGAGGGAATAAAAAACCTTTTGGGATTAGTCCCCTCTCCTCCCTTCCCAATGCTGAAAAGGACTTTCCTCTTGCCAAGTGGCAGTGTGTATCAAGGCCTTCGTTTCAGAGTCGCAGTAAATGAGCTATGTTTCTCTGTTCTGTTGCCATGGGTAACACATATTTTTCTTCTCATGTCTAATCTTTGCTTCTCTTTGCGATATCTTCCATTTGGAAGGCCCGCCTGCTACTGCAGCACTGGCACTGGTTCACGGCCTTGTCAGCTATTAGGCTTTGCTCGATGGCTAGGAAATCACACTGCCTACTTTTCTATGTAGGGGTGGATTATTTGATCAAATATGTAGCTACTGTTAACAGTAGGCTGCCCTATCTATGGTTAAGACTGCTTTGGCATCTTAAAGCTGCATTCTCTACAGCCTTCACATAAAAATATAATGTTCTACATTATAAAAATTACATAGTGGGGTTGCAGTTGCATAGTAAATTTGACTGGAAGAGATAAATCATCTCTGATAGTTTTGATACGTAAAACACCACTTGCTGTGCAGTGGGAGTGGACAATAGGACCTCACTGACACCCGGCTTCTTTTTTCTAACCTGACTAGAAAGGTTTTTTTTCTGTATTTTTTCATGTTTGATCATTTTAAAATTCTCTGAATCATGAATTGTGTGTACATTGTGAAGTCGAAAAAAAAAGTGTTTGGTATGAAAAGTGAAGTCTTCTTCTGCCTTTAATTTTAACAGATCACTGTGTTTCAGGTAAATACGTGTGTGTTTGTAGCTTGATATTGTGTCCAAGCAAAAGTATTGTCTGCACAATCTATTTACTTTAGTGGTATAGTTAGCAGTGGAAAGGACCATAATACAGGGGAATTGGTCTTCCAAAAGTGGGGGGAAATAAAATGGAGCAGATTAGGAAATTATATATTTAGCAGTATTGTCAAAATAATTGTAAATCTTTAATCAAATTAAATCCTAATCATAGACATGCAACTTGGAGTAACAAGGTTTGAAAATGTCCTCTGAACTGGTTATAAACCAGATTTCAAGTTTGATAAAAACAAATACAACCTCCTCTGCATGATGTTATGCAGATGTTTTACTTTCTTAAAAGTCTCAGTGTATCTGTAAGGTTCATGCACGGGGGAAGGATGCAAGCATGCAAACAAATTTAGGTTATTGGTGTGTTATATTTACAAAGCAGAGATTACGGCAATGTCAAAAAAAAAATGGTAGTACAAGTGACCCTGATTCTTGTCTCCGCAGGTGAATACACAGTGATGACGGCTCATTTCCATCTGAAGAGGAAGATCGGCTACTTTGTCATCCAGACATACCTCCCGTGCATCATGACAGTCATTCTTTCCCAAGTGTCTTTCTGGTTAAATAGAGAATCAGTGCCAGCTAGGACTGTGTTTGGTAAGTGTCTGCCACCCTCTTTCACTTCTTCTGCTTTCATGCAAAGGTACATTTCAAATAACCCAGATCTTGATGGAATACCCCAATTCTCAATGACATTAATGAGATATAGGTCTAGTGTTATGAATAGTTCTTTATTTCAGCACAATGTGTGTTATGTATGTGTATAATATAAAACAATCATTTCCTAATGAACTTCATAATACCTGACTATCCAAGGAATTATTATTTTCCCTGTGTTTATTTCCAGGTGTAACCACCGTTCTCACGATGACAACACTGAGTATAAGCGCCAGGAACTCCCTTCCCAAGGTTGCCTACGCCACTGCCATGGACTGGTTCATCGCTGTCTGCTACGCCTTCGTCTTCTCCGCTTTGATTGAGTTTGCCACCGTCAATTACTTCACAAAGCGCGGCTGGGCTTGGGATGGAAAGAGTGTTGTGACTGACAAGGTAATGAGGAGAAAAACATATGTTTGTGACAGGCTCCATTTTCAAAAGGAATTCATTAGGATTGTAACTGTATGTTGAAGAAGGCAATGCTTAAAAAAAAATTGTTAGAGGCAGAGGGAAGCAGTGATAATGGCTGCTTTAACCTTACGAAGCTATAACTATTTATTTATTTCTTAACGCTAATTAGCCAATAAGTAAATCTAAATGACTAACTCTAGGCAAAATATCAATGATGAGTATAGATGCAGTGACATTGATGGAAAAAAAATTGATATGTCAGCAGAAATTGTTTCTAGTTTACCAAGACAGCATAAGTTTATATGACTAGTGTGAGTGGTCTGACAAGCTTTCTCTGTTTCTATAGAAGAACAACTACTCCCACAAGAAAGGTTCATACCTTCAAGTCTAATCTGTCTATCACTGTTTCTGTATTATAAGCCATGAGAACATAGGTACATGTATAACATGTAATCCCAATAGAGGAGATCGTAAATTTGAACAAGACCACTATTTAGCATTCCAGTATTCCCATTAGTTAAGTGCCATCAATGCACTCTTTTAACTGTGATGAGCCCCTAGGCATTTCACCCTTGAACTGCTGTAGGGGAGTAAATCAATGTCTAGCTATGTAACTGTGATAGTAAACGTGTCACACATAACTTACAATTGACAGGACAGACATGGATACAAAATTGTAACCAAGCAGAAAGCAAAGATAAGCTCTAAACAATTCTGCATGTAGAAAATATCACATCAAACAGATGTAGACAGATGTATTAATATAGAGCAAAAAGGGGGGCTTGGATTGAAGCAACGTAATTAAAATGTGAAAGAAATCACGAATCGTTCAGTGCTGACATTGAAGGTGCAATATTATTATTATTATTATATATAATATTAATGTGATGGAGGTTTTAACTCTATACTGTAGTAAATTAACAGTATTATAATCAGTGTTGGACAAGTTACTCAGAATTTGTAATATATTACTAGTTACTTATTACTCCTTAAAAAAGTAATAATATCACCAAAAGTAACTTGTTATTTTACTCATTACGTTACTATATTACTTTTGGCGGGTGGGGTGGGGGGGGGGGGGGGGGGGGGGGGTTAAGCAGTGTTCAGGAGAGAGAGAGAGAGTGAGAGGAGATGCTGCATGAATATGTGCTCCATAATACAGCTCCTCAATGAAGTAGCCTACGAATTGAAATACGCCTAGTAAAAAAAACAACAGAAAATCAATATGTTGCGGTCAACATTGATAATTATCCGATCATGTATGGGAAACACTTCACTACCACCCCTTCACCCCCAAACAAAGCAGTCTCTCCCGACTTTATCAGCAGCAAGGAGTATGATTTTTAGAAAGCAGGTAATGTTTCTTGACGCCACCGGCTGAAATAAAAAAATAAAGCAAATAAATCCCAACTTTTGAACAGCTGTTTTTCTGCACATGCAGCCTGTTTTTAAGAGCAGTATTCAGTAGTTTTACAAAACCTTACGTAGCTCCACTCTCTCCCGACGAGTCCAAGCATCAGTGACAGTAGTTGCCGGAGTTTCTTTCTGTAAGTTTTACATTGCTGTGCTGCTTCAGCAGATGCTTCAGTAAATGAAGTGCAGAATTGTTCACGGTTAAACGCTTTTTGCTGGTCGCACAGAGTTTACAACGGACAACAGTGTTCTTTGCATCTTAGACTGTGACACATGATTTGGCAGTAGCTACTTACAGCTGGGGAAAGAACGCCTCTCTCCCTTGTTCTCCTTTCTTCCTTCCGGACATGAACAACTGGAGGTCCGTTGCTGCTGAGCTGCTGCACAGTCACGCGTTCAAGATGGTGCGTTCAGTAATGACTAACGCAGCGTTACTTGGATTAGTAACTGTAATAATATTATTGTTTTAGAAAAGTACTTAATTACACTACTAGTTACTGGGAAATGTAATAATATTGCACTAACACGTTACTGCCCAACACCCATTTCTTTGAATCACTGAACTCTATGAAAGGCCTGCAACTGTGGCCCATATCTTACTGTGTGTCTCCCCTCCAAGGGAATTGTTATATTTTACCTAAGAGAACCAATACGGTGTCTTATAAAATGTTCTAACACATTTTACATTCTGTGTGACCTACTATATTCCCTACTTCTGCTTACTGTATGTATATGACTATCAGCCCACCTATAAGTTCTAAACATCCCTGAAAGTGTTGGAAGGCTGAAAAAATACACAAAACTATCAAAAAAAGTTACAGTGCACCCTTGTCAAATTGTTGATATATGTGGCCCTTGCTGGCCTTCATTCTGACATGGAAAAATGCGCTGATCCATTCATTACCAGACCCTATCCATTGCCACCTCACTCCTTCATTTACATGCATTTTAAACTCACGGAAATAAGGTGACAAGTGATGGGTTTCAGGGTTGTCCTGTCTTTTTAAGCTTTTACATCTAATCCTTGGGATCTCTCAACAGAAAAAAGAGAGGGCATCTGTCGTCAAGAAGAATAATGCCTACGCTGTAGCAGTGGCCAACTACGCGCCAAATATCACCAAGGACTCCAGCACACTTCCAACTATTGCCAAAGGTGGAGCTTCGGATCCCAACAAGGCCAAAGCAGACGGCAAAGCTCAAGAAAGCAAGAAGACGTTCAACAGCGTCAGCAAAATTGACAGGATGTCAAGGATTTTGTTTCCGGTTCTCTTCGGCTCCTTCAACCTGGTCTACTGGGCCACCTACTTAAACAGAGAACCCGTTATAAAGGATATGGTCCCCTCTAATTAGAGGCCAGTTTTAGTGGGTTCTGGTCTGGGGACTAAGAGACGAACCAAATACCTCCAGCAACTGTGTACACATACCTTTGCAGAGTGAAGTCCTGGATTGCAGTGTGATCCTCTATCTCCGCCTGTTTTCTACACTGTCTGCAGCACTTTTGAAAAGCCTGGCTTTTGTAAATGTGTATGTATATTTATATTCATGGTTTCATGGTGACATATTGTGTGATTACTTCGATTAGAGTGCATTTTTCCTTGAAAGTATGTTTCCGGTTACAGTATGTGGTCACTGTATATACAAGTCAAATGAAGAGTAGAGATTAACACTTTAACACATACGTTTTATTTAAGATTACTTCTGTGTTGAATTTAGCTGGTAATGCCCACTCTCTTGATATTACAGTATGTATTTTTCTTTTGAGTGAAAGGGACTAATTATGTCATATTTGTTACTTTCTTTGCCATCTACTGTAAGAGTGACCTAACTTTTTTCTTTGTCTAAGCCAATGCAAAAACACACTTGTATAATATTGTTATTAACTGTAACTACAGGTATGGGGCTGCAAACTGATCTCCAGAATTACCGAAACACGCCAAAAAATACAGAGGAAGCTACACTGGTGACTTTGTGTTCTTGTACGTTTAATACTGTGTAGTGCTGCCAACGTCAGGTTTCTATAATCTATAACTTAATAATTTAATACTATTGGAAGCATCTGACTTAATGATAGAATGAAAGTCTATAAAGTTCATCCATTATGAATCAGCACTTTGATAGTCAATAGAAACGTAATTAACTGAAATAACCTGCAACTTAACGTGCTTGTAAATTAATTGATCATGTCAGGGGGCAAAAGAAAACCAAACAAAGACATAGAGCAACATAATGATCATATTTGTTGTGTTATTGCCACCTTACAAATGTAAGTCTAGCATTCATTCTCCTTTTAGCTCTGTTTTGGTCTCCACCAGCTCACAAGGAAACTATCTGGGACTTTAGCCTTTTAGATGTTGAGTTTCTTCACTAGCCTGCTAAGTTGCTAACTTCGTCTGTCTGACATTTGGTGCTGGGCAGGTAGAGTCGGTTTGTCAGACAGTAAATCCAAAACCAAAACAACAAGTTAAAATAGACTAAAAAGCAGCAAGTTGAGGGATCAAAAACATTGCATGCATCAGTGCAGTGTCAATAATAAACATACAGTAACATAAATGGAATCTGTTGCTAAAAGTACATAAGAATTATTATGAGATGACAAATTAGAATAAGAAAAGCAAGAAAAATATCATTTTTTTTTCAAATCATTTTGTAAATCTTTATTTTATTTATTTATTTTAGCAAAGTTATGATCTAAATAATGTTACACACTAATTACTACTGTATGATTTAAATGCACACAAAGTCTTCAGATCATCATCATGGGTAAACTTGTTTAAATGTGTTTAAAATGTGTTTAATACAGCTTTTGATTGGCTTGTCTATGGTGGTAGTAACTCTGGAGGACGGTGTGGATTTGTTGGTGTAGACTAGAGCATTGTGGCGGTACTAATCAGCATGTCTGCCATTACAATTTTAGGTGATTATTCATATCAAGTGGCTATTTACAACACATTTCATGCCACATCTTGAAATAATTACAGATATGAAAGGGACAGGACTGCAAACACAGGGCTGTTTTGTGCCAATGTGAACTTCATTGAATTGTGTGTGGATGATAGTCACATCCCTCTGCCAGCAAATCTTTTGTGTAATAGACCTAAAGGGAGAGATACAGCCAGGATGTGGGACTAAATTAATATTTTTGATCATGAATTAGATTTGTAGTTTTATCTCATAGTCTTGGTTGATTGTTGTATACATTTGTACTTTGGACTAACTCAAAAGCCATATCCAGTCCAGTTCTGTAAAACAAACAAATTAACAGGGACAAACAATGATTGTACTTCATGGGCATACTGTAGAAGGCATAAACTTATTTTGACACAATCTCTGCCATAGATGCTGTGTATCAAGAAAACAACTCATGATCAGCCCCATATCAGTAGCCGTAAATCGTACTCTACTGTTTTGAGTGTAATGATTTTGCTTCACATCAATATTTTAACTTAATTTGATTGTTGAATCAAACTTTGCATGAAGATGAAATCTAGCATTTTGTTTTTATTTTTCACCAATCATGCCATCAGATATAAATGATTTTTAATTCATAGTTTCTCCAACATTCTGATAGAATCTTAAACATTCCAGATAAAATGATTGTTCACGAGGTGGATGCTTGATTCAGTGCACAGTTTCTAATAAAACGTATATCATTTCAATTCTTTATATCTAGTTTGTGCCGTGTTTTTTGAATTAGAGCCTGGCTGATATCGGATTTTTAAAGCTGATACCGATATTGATGTTGAGTTTTAAAATTATTATATTAGACTGGCCAATATTTGTTTCTATATTCACATACTTTATACAACTTTTAGCTGATAAATATGCAGACATCAATATATTTGTTAATATCAGCCATGGTATTAGTTCCAGCTTCTTCCTTGAAATACAAGTAACCCCATGCATTTATACATGACAGCCCAGGCAGATCATGGGACTATGAGTGAGGCAGCTCTGCCCTTCTTCAGCACGAGAGGATACTGTCAAGCAATGCTGCGATGCTGCCATGGACTATCATCACCAGTGTGTTGGTAAAACCCTCAAAAAAGCCCTGTGGCACTGAGCTGTAATGCAAAGCTCGCTGAAGTTTAATTTTCTGGCCTGATCTTTCCACCACTCAAGCGTGTGAGGTCTCCTCTGAGCTTTATCTCCTCAATCCACGGCCGACCCTGTTCACCCACTCAGAGGCCGTGGCCTGACAGAAATCAATACTGATGGATGTGAGGTGTCCACGGCATAGCAGAGCTGTGTACATGCATGTTTACAAATCTTCATAATTAAGGATCGCTTACCATTTATTCAAAGTGTCAGACTGGAGCAATCCAAAGGAGTGATAGACTGCTTTTCTCTACACAGCGGTGAAGTCAGTTTTAAGTTGGCCATTTGACAGACATTCACTCCAGAGCCAGGAGAATCTTCTTACTCACTTTCACCCAGTGTTGGCAGTAGGAGGACAGTTAGCTCACCTCCCAGACCTCTTTCTGACCGCAGGGGGTTGACTTAGGGTCAATTAATAACTGTTTAAATGACACAATATTGATGTTTTCTCTAGTACCTTTGTGCTGACTTGTCCATATTAGTGAAAATTGTTGTTGTTACTAAATTGGTTGCTTTATTTTACATAAATATTTTTGATAGAAAAAATTGGCAGTTTTTTCAATATCTTCCATGTAATTTAACCCGGTGACTCCAAATCAATACCAAACATTATTACTTCACAGGCCACATAGGACACTCTACATACTGGATCTTGTTCTACTGTAATGTGACCCAGTGTGCTACATGAGTGTTTAGTCATACTTTTCACTAATATGGCCAAGTCAACAGGAAGTTATTAAAAAAACATCATGGCAAAACATGGCAGGGAGGTGAGCTAACTGTCCTGTCTCCTACTGCCAAAACTGGGGTGAAACTGAGTAAGAAGACGCAGCTGGATTAAAACTAACTTCAACACGGTCGTTTCTCTACAGATTTCTATAAAGTTCAGTTCAACTCTTGAATGAAAATGAAATCTAATCTGTCTTGGACAGTGATGGAAAGATCAGACATCTAAATTAGATTTATTTGATCTCTTACTTACACGACATAGGAAATGTTAGTGGTATTTTTTGGTAAATGTTAGTTCACTGTGCAAAGCATATGAACTTACGAAAAAATTAAGTCCACTACCATCTCCATTGTCTTCAGAGCATTGAGCATGGCATGGGCATGGCATAATGTGGTGAAAACAGGACATGAGCCAGAATAGCTTTAACATCCTCTCCATGTTCAATGAAATGAAAAGTTTGTTGTGTGTGTGTACTTAAGCCATCAAAAAGAAGACAGACATGTGAATTTAGCAATTCAAAAATCACAGCAAAGTAGAATATGTGCCGTGTTGTAGTTTTTTGATTAGTACAACATGAACCTATGCTATCCATTCATTAATTTGGCAGATGCATTTAAAACAAGTCACAGAATTTTTAAGATGAAAAAATCAACCAAATAATAATAATACACACCAAGTCACCAAAACGGAAACTTTTATGATCATGTTCATTTATCTAATATGTATTTTATGTTTTCACATAGGCTAGTAGGCTATAGGTGTTATAACACATTCATATTTTCTTGCATCAAAAAACAAGCAGATTTCTGGTGGCCATATTTGTTTGTTTTAAGGAGTGAATTAGAAATGATGTTGATTGTGCAGAAGAAGCATAAGTGTTGTGTGGAGTATGTAAAGGCTGGCAGACTCTGTAGGTAGTGCTGTGGAATGACCTGTGTTTTTTTAAAGGCAGTCTTTAAGAAAAATTGATGCCTAGCTCTATGACTCAAATACAACCTGCAGTGCAAAAGTCTCTAAGAAAAAATATGACTACATGACAGGAAGAAACTGGGGCTAATAGAGGCTTATTATCTCTGGGTGCACAAAGAGGAGAAGCAGTAATCTATTCTTGTGCAAGAGGCAGTTTCGTTGTCATAGCAACTGATATCCATTTTTATCCTCCATCTGACAGGTCGAGTAGGCGGGACTTCCGACTATCCAAGCACTTTCAAAGACAATAGTATGTCAAGATAGTGCTCTTCCTGTGATGCTTTCAAATGCTGTTTCAAACGTTCATGTCTGTATATTACGCTATTATGTAGTCCCTAAGGCTAGTGACTCCCGTCTGAATAAATAGCCTGCAGCAATGTCTAGCCGTAGTAGCATTTAAAAAATACATGGAAAGAAATGTTTGACAGCTGTGCAGTTAGCTTTGCACGGCTAGTTAGCATTACAATAAACTTTCAACAGTGTAACTGTTTATCAATGATACTTCGAAGAAAATCACTGACGATTTGCTCGTTTCCTCTGACCTGCATAAAACAAAACGGAAGTTATTGTAGGGTATTATCTTGTTTCTTTAAATCATCTCTAGTTCGACAAATCAACAACATTTCCCACAAGTCTTTGCCGGTGAACTGTCACCCAAAATGTCAGCACCCTAGGAACTCATGCACCGGGGTGACTACACTATTTACTTGAAAGATTCGTATATTTTTTTCATATCGTCGTGACTGTTCACCAATGGTCCGCCAAAGTGGCAATGGCCTAGATAGTTTTAATGACATTATATATTCCTGGCTAACATCAGCTAACATGTATTTATCCTTCAGTCCTGCCAGGTAACGTTATCTCACTTGATAGCTGAAGGAAAACATGTCGTTTTCTCTGGTGAAACGGTGTTGTGAAACACCCCTTTTAGGACGTGTTTTACAGTTCAAAATGTACAAAAGGAAAATACAAAACTATAATACGACTTACACATTGTTAAGACATCGCTGGATGAAAAGACTGCCCTTGTTCTCCAGCAGCTTCAAGAGGATCAGCACACAAGCAGACAAGGTAATCATTCTTTCATTCATAATTCTGAATTTAGGTGAGAGTAGGCTACACCTAAACTGTCACTGACTCTCATGCCCCCCTAAATATCTTCCCCTAGGAGTAAAGTGGAATCAACACTGGGACACTACTTGTTACATCAACATACAGTCCCTACACCTGACCCCACGCATTACGTCAACGCGCATCTTTTAGACTATTATCTGTGTACATTGCACATATATATCTCGACATTGCAGTAGTTAGTTTTTTATACCTTCATTTATTTATTTTCTCTGTTTATTGTTATTCACCAATTTACCAAAGCAATTTCCCTGTATGTTCAATAAACCTGATTCTGACTCTATAAAGGGTAGAGAAATGCTGAGAAATGGCATATTTATAATGCTCTTCACTCCATTTATGGTTCTGTACCTGCCCCATTCAGTAGAAGACATCATAAGTGACATGTCATTGACATTTTGCTACTTCTTCAAGGTGAATGACAGCCATAGTAATTAACAGGCTTCTTTGCTTTTGCTTTTAAGGATACCATTGACCTGTCTAGGTTCCCTGTAGACAGAATCAGGAATTTTTGCATCATTGCTCATATTGATCATGGAAAAAGCACTTTGGCTGACAGGCTGTTGGAGATGACAGGTATGTTTGCTCCTCACACTGCACATCAGCTTCTGTTTGTCTTTGTTTTTGTGAAATCACTTATTTTTTTTCAGGTTTACGCAAGTGTCACACCACAACGATGGCTTAAAGAGAAAATGTTTAGGTGTGATCACATACTCTGTGATAATGTAATGTATTAGGGTCTACAGTAATTGGATTGCATTCTCCCAGCATTAATCTGGGACGTTGTGATCTGTCTGTGGCTGTTACTATACAAATAGATGTTAATGACATGACTATGAGAGTGTATGCATCTCTTACTCTCTCTCTCACACACACACACTATTATATCAGCTGTTCATAAAATTATTACAATTAACACAAAGTGTTACTAATGGATGCGTTGACAAACAGGTGCCATAGTGAAGACTGAGAAAAACAAACAGGTGTTGGACAAGCTTCAGGTGGAGCGAGAGAGAGGGATAACAGTGAAGGCCCAGACAGCATCTCTGTTTTACAACCACGAGGGACAGCAGTACCTCCTGAACCTTATCGACACACCGGTAAGTGCTCAGTTGAGTGTGATGTCAGGAAGGAGGAGGTTTTAAACAGGAATTAAGAAAGTGCTCCGCTTCTGCCTGGTCTTTCTGATATTCTGGATATTAAAACTTGTCTACAGTTCTTTTGTCATTGTCCTTTGTTTACATGCTGCACCACCATGTCTCTCAATTTTTGTATATCTCCGGTGCTTTCCCTCTCTGCAGGGTCATGTTGACTTCAGCTATGAAGTGTCTCGATCGATTTCTGCATGCCAAGGAGTCCTGTTGATCGTCGATGCCAATCAGGTACAAAACCAGATTTCTCAGTGAGTTATTGCGGACGTATTCGCTGCGTGTGATGCCGTCGTTAATGTTTTGTTGTCATGTGAAGGGGGTTCAAGCGCAAACGGTGGCCAACTTCTACTTGGCTTTTGAGGCTCAGCTGGCAATCATCCCTGTCATCAACAAGGTAAACTGGAGACCTACTTGTTTTCAGGTTTATCACATATTATCTTTCTACTCGACTGCTGATCAGCATGTCTTTCTGATTTAATATTTCTCCCTTAGATTGATTTGAAAAATGCTGATCCAGAGAGGGTGGAGTCACAGATTGAAAAGGTGTTTGATATTCCACGGGAAGAATGCATCAGGGTGAGCTGGAGCATGTAAGCAGCTTTTAGTTTTCACTTATGAGACATTTCTCTTTATTCCTCATCTCATCTCCATTTCAGATCTCAGCTAAACTTGGAACCAATGTTGAAAATGTTCTCCAAGCAATCGTGAACAGAATCCCACCGTAAGAAGGTTCATTTGGTTTCATTTCTCCCATGAAACGTGTTTGACACACAGAAGTGAAGCTTATTTTATCTCATCCTTGTATCCTCAGGCCTGTGGCAAGTACTCATGACCCATTTAAAGCCCTGGTGTTTGACTCCAATTTCGACCACTATAGAGGAGTGGTGGCCAACATCGCTGTGTTTGGAGGTCGGGTCAGAAAAGGGGACAAGATCGTGTCGGCACATCTTGGCAAAACCTACGAGGTCAACGAGCTGGGGCTTCTCAGGCCAGATGAGCACCCAACACAGAAGCTGTATGTGGTTCTTCATCATCTTGTGCCATTTCTACTGCTTGTTATCTCATCCAGTAGATTGATGGTGTAGAGCTGAAATTGTTGATCTACAATTCTATTTTGATAGATGAGCTTTTATGTCATTATTTAAGCAAAACCGCACATTCTCACTTGTGAAGAATTGTTGTTTGTTAGTCTTATTTGATACAAAAATTTGTATCTTTAGGTTTTGACGTGTTTGAAGTTGAACAAAACAAGTCATTTGATGACTTTTGATTTTGAATATGTATATTTGGGGGGGAAATAACGTTTTGTGACCTCATTACTGGGATGGCCTTTTCTCTTTTTTAAGGTGTTTTATGCAGCGATTGACTCAGTGGTCTTCTGATTAAATAATCTTTTTAGCATCTATGTAGATAAATAAACCAGCAGTAATGGAGTCGGTGTTTTCCTGCTGTGCTTTGACGCTTCTGTCACGCACTACTTTGTGCGAAGGTGTTGTTTTTAAATATGTTACTGATTGAAAAGAAAGAGAGTTTTTGCTGTGCTAGTTTCCCAGTAAAATTGAGCGCAGGTTTTAAATTCTGTCTATTTCAACAGACATATAAAATATCCAAAAGTTTGAAATTTGATAACAGACATTGCCACTGTATCGTCTTTGAATATTAATCCAGCCTACTTTGTAATAAGAACTTGTCCACACAGTTGATTAATACTGGATTGTTTTGTTAACATTTGCCCAACTGTCCACTAAGATGCTTGTTTACATTGCATTAGTGTAAATCTGCTCAACTGTTGTGTAGGTTTGCAGGCCAAGTGGGCTACATAGTAGCAGGGATGAAGGATGTGAAGGAGGCCCAGATTGGTGACACACTCTACCTCCAGGACCAGCCGGTGGAAGCTCTTCCAGGTTTTAAACCCGCCAAAGCCATGGTCTTTGCTGGTGAGAAATGTTCTGCAGTCGCTTCCTGCTGTCAAATAAAAATGTCTGTAAATTTGGCATAAGAACCAGGACTGAGGATGTGCATTATTGTACTTAGTACGTAACAGAACAGTAGCCTTAAATATTCCCCTGGACAGTCAAACATGAAACCCCTTCAGTGCATGTTGTGTTTCACTAGCTGGCTCAGTAAGTGCAGTCAGTGCTTTGCAAATAAACGAAAAAATACAACAACACTGCTCTCTTTTGTTTTTCTGTCCCTCAGGCATGTATCCAATGGACCAGTCAGAGTACCCGGGCCTTCGCAGCGCCATTGAGAGACTGACCCTGAATGACTCAAGCGTCACAGTGCAGAGAGACAGCAGTCTGGCCCTGGGAGCAGGCTGGAGGTGAGGACAACTGTTTTGAATTAGAATGAAAAATGGCTTTAAGGCCACATCAGAGGAGTTGCTCGTTACATATACTGTAACAGTGAATAAAAACAAAAGTGTGCACACTGAGCAGTGCAACCACGAAACTTTTAGACCCGCTTCAGGACTCACAGTGCTTGGACGTTTTGTTACAGTAATTTTCTGTTGCAGAAAAGTCACCCACATTAAATGATGTGATTGATAGGGGAATCCACTTTCCTTGGGACATAGTGCATGTTGCCAAAAAAGACAGCCTAGTGGGAGTTTATTTATCACATGTCATCTTAGTCCAGATGGTGTAAATTTGATTCTATTAGTGGCAGGGATTTAGATCATTTGGAAGTATGAAACTGCACTGCAATGAGTCTCTGTTGAACTCTTTCCAAACACGCTCTTTGTAATTAAAAGCATGCATATAAATTATAAAACTTGAGTGAACCGTCCCCCTGCAGACTTGGCTTCCTCGGTCTTCTCCATATGGAGGTGTTCAATCAGAGGCTGGAGCAGGAATACAATGCCTCTGTTATAGTAACAGCGCCCACCGTGCCCTACAAGGCTGTCCTCTCTTCAGCTAAACTCATCAAGGTAAGAGCCATTTTCCTGCTCGTATATATTCTGGTCTTAACGGTAGAACTGGGCAGGGTTTGGAAGGACGTGGAAATGATTGATAATTGTAGGTTCTCTGGAATTGCTTGCGTGCTTTCTTGTAAAATGGCATATGGGAGTTACTTGACAGGACAATCAAAATGTTCTGTTGCAAAGTTAAAATCACAGCCACTTTGAATGCATGATGTTATCAAGTAGACTTTCCTTACACTATTTCTCAGTCATGTGTGTCTAGGAATGGAATAAATGAACTATAATAAAAGGTATTGCACAAAGGTAACTTTTTACAGCCATTTTTCGAGCCTGCACGAGGTGAGTGTTTCAATCTCAAAACACTGCTTTTGGTTGGAATACCACTTTAAAATCATCATATCAAGCTTTTGGAAAGACCTTTTTCCAGTTTTATTTTGGGGTTCAAATCTCATCTGTTCTCCCCGCAGGAACACGGCAGTGAGGAGATAACCATCGTGAACCCCGCTCAGTTCCCAGACAGATCAGTTGTGTCAGAGTATTTGGAGCCTATGGTTCTGGGGACCATTCTTGCTCCAGACAGTTACACTGGCAAGATTATGACTCTCTGCCTGGTAAGAGGAAAATGGAAAATGCAAATTAAATAAATGAATAGGGGTTTAACCTGAATGTGTTCTTTCTGCACCATATGGGGCTGATTTTCATTTGCTTGTGTGCCGCTAACATAGCTATCTGCCTTGTCAGCATCTTATTTAAAGTGTATGGCTAAGTCAGAAAGAGATACGGTCTGAATACCCACAGGCGAGTCAGCCTGATTCTCAAGCCTGTTGGAAAATGTAGTTTGACAGGAGATGCAAGAGTGCATCCTTTACTTTTTACTCTTTCCAAATTGGTCTATAGCCAAAGAAATAATACTTGAAAAAAGTAAGCCAAGAAAATGATCCTTTGTGTTAGATGATTTATATTTCAAAAGTAATCATTTAATTAGGTTCCTAAGTAATTAAGTAGCACTTCTTGGATTGTTGCGATTGTAAATGCATGCAAAACTGGTAGAGACAAAACTGCCATCACATTGTTGTGTTCTTAAAGAATCGCAGAGCCATCCAGAAGAACATGGTGTACATAGACGACCAGCGTGTCATGATGAAGTATCTCTTCCCTTTAAATGAAATCGTTGTGGATTTCTATGACCTCCTCAAATCGCTGTCCTCTGGATATGCAAGGTAACTGCTGGAAAAGTAGCTCTTTGCATTTTTTAAATACTAGTGCATTGAATGTAGGTTACATAAACAAGTCTGCTCTTCATAGCTGTAGAGTCGATTCAAAACTTGCAATTAGTTGCCAGATTCAGTCAAATCTTGTATCAAGGGATGAATTAAATTCTTGTCAATGAATCCAGTAAATGAAAATGTTCACTAGCGTGGAATCTTCCCTTCAGTCCCATAGTTTTCTCTCTCCCGTGCACCTTTGCTTGAGTCATTACATTCAACAATGTAGGATAAATTTCATTAATGAAGTTGTATATCACTTTCGACTGACTCTGAAAGCATTCCACGATTTTATCTTCCTCAGCTTTGACTATGAGAGCGCAGGCTACCAGGCTGCTGACTTGATAAAGATGGATTTTCTGCTGAATGGGCGGCCTGTGGAGGAACTCACCACAGTTGTTCACAGGTACTGCGTGTTTCAAATCATACCTTAATTCAGATGCTGTCAAGCCTATGTGTTTGCTTTTTCACAGAATAATTTGAGTAAGAAGATCCTCATTTGTCTCAGGAGGTATACCTCTGATCCTGCTTGAGAGGATCTTCTTATTTTCTTTGTCACGGCTTTGTCCCCCGTAGCTTAATTATTATTGGTGCTCTCATGGAAAAGAATTGGCTGATTTTTACGATTTTACGTTTACATAACTTCAAGGTTATATGGTCCTTCATTAAAGTAATTCTCCTGAGCTTGTGGAGCATGAAATATATTCAACACCCAGGATAACATTAGAAAATGGCCTCTTGGCAGCCAGTGTTAACACTATCTATTACGGTGACTTTACACACCGGTCAAGGACTTTATTTCCGAATTACGAAACTTCACAGGCGAAAAGTGATGACACGCAGCAGACCTGTATTTAATGTACTTACTACCAAAGCCAGTACAGACTTTGGTAATTAAAGGGCGCTATGCTTCACAGACAATGGCTACTCTCTGGCCATTTATACTGTAAGCCTTGGAGTCGAGCCGAGCGTAGCTTCTTTCTGTTATTCTTTAACGCACCAATCACAGAGCAGAAAATCAGAGCGACTGAAATGCACGGCATGCGACCGGACCCAAGTGAGACGAGGATGTCCTGTCGAGCAGTGAAGCCATTTACATGTACACCTGTTTGATATGGAGGCTTTTATCCAAAGTTCCTTATAGTATGACATGGGGGCACACTGTTATATATTCAGTGCTTTGCTTTACCCATTAAAAGAATAGTTTGACATTGTGGGAAGTATGCCTGTACATTTTCTCTCAAAGAAATAGTAACTGCACATAACTTCCCATAAAACCACAAAATGTTTTTATTTTGCAGTTATGTTTTGGATATAAATAAGATTTTTGAACTTGTCAGGGTAACCGTAACTCCTGCCTGTAGCTTCATATGTAATGTTCAAACACAACCGGGATCTCAAGCCTCTCGTGTGAAGGCCTGGGTATTCTTATGTGTGTCAAGTCAAACTGTTAAACCTTTTAACCCACACAGGACTGCCTCAATGGAGAATATGGCACTTCTATGGCCTTAAGACAAAACATTTTCCGCACACTTTTCACTTGAAGGATTTGTAATCCCTAACATGCTGACATTTGAGGAACCCTGGTCAGATTTTTGACATAGCTTGGGGTGATGATGTGCGTTAGCATTCTGAACATTGATTATTTTGATGATTACTCCAGTGAGATCAGAATTTTAAACTTTAAAAGGCCATCTTGATTAAACCTGGAGAGATGATTCATACTGTTAGTGACTGCCTAAATGGTCACCACATTTATTGGAGATGACACATGCACACTTTGTCAGCTACTGTATTCTGAGGTGATTTGGTGAGTACAGAAGATTTTCTGGATTGCAGATTTTCTTTGCTGGCAGGGTCGAGCAGTAGCGTTTTACAGTTGGTTTGGTTCTGATAGGTGTGTTTTCATTACAGAGACCGTGCATACAGCACAGGGAAAGCCATGTGTGAGCGACTCAAAGACTCCATACCAAGGCAGATGTTTGAGATCGCTGTACAGGCAGCCATTGGTAGTAAGGTCATTGCAAGGGAAACGTAAGTACAACATCAGCACTTATCTGAAGGCTATATATTAAGCACTATGAATTGTATGTGTGTATGAAATGAACTTCCCTAAAAAATGTGACATGACAATATTTGCCCTTTTCAGAATTAAGGCGTACAGAAAGAATGTTCTCGCTAAATGTGTAAGTAAAGGTATTTCTTAACTCTCAAAAGTTGTTGAATCCAGCAACAGAAGATCTAACAAATGTACCACAGTCACTCTGAATTATAAAGTATATATTGTTTGTCTTGGTAGTATGGAGGTGACATAACACGGAAGATGAAACTACTGAAGAAACAGGCAGAGGGTAAAAAGAAGATGCGGCTTATCGGCAACGTGGAAGTTCCCAAAGACGCCTTCATTAATGTTCTGAAGAGAAAAGAAAAATAGACTGCAGTTTATTATTTTATAATAAAATCATTCCTCCATGCAACAGGTCTTTGTTATTGAAAAGCCATGCTAGATTTACTCTGAATAAAGTGGGTTATTGTTGCTGCAAACTGCTGTAATTGTGCGGATTTCCACAATATGTGTCATTTCTTCCGCTCTCTGACATTTAACAGATCATCTACCAGGAGAGGAATGTAACGATTACATGTTGTTCAAAATCAATGTACATGATGGAAGTTTTGCTTTCACGTGTTCAAATGCTTCTGTTCTGTGATTACCATGGGTCATACAACGCAATTGGCTTTAAACATGTAGTTCCTAAGAAATGAAATTAATAAGCAGAAGAACGGGGGGCTTAATTTAATGCTCAGAAAAGTAATAATGATAATAAAAATCTTTATTTATAGAGTCAGGAATCAGATAAAGCTTTCTTATAAAAGTATGTTTTAAAAAGGGATTTAAAAGAGTTCACTGACTCAGCCGACCTGATTTCTTCAGGCTGGCTGTTCCAGAGTCTCGGGGCCCTGACTGCAAACACTTTGTCCGTTTAGTTTTCAGTCGAGACAAAAGACCTCTGCCTGAGGATCTCAAGGTACGTGCTGGTGCGTATGGGACTAAAAGGTCAGAGATATAATAGGGAGAGAGGCCATGAAGAGCTTTAAAATTAATCAACAAAATTTACTATTCTAAAACACTGGGAGCCAGTGTAATGAAGCTAAAACAGGGGTGATGTGATCATATTTCTTTGTTCTGGTCAAAAGCTTGGCAGCTGAATAAAGTATTATTATAATTGTAATACATCATTAAATGTGTTATCATTTTATCAATACAGACCGCATGTTACTTTATACAATGCAGTTAGTATGGACACTGTTTTCATTGCATTCTGAGACGTTCATCAATCAGTCAACAAATGTATTAATACATGTTGATTGGTTGCTGACTGTGACATCTGACCTTAGAAAGGAGTGATAGAAATTATAATTCCCATTATATTATTTGCTTTGTTTTTGTGAGAAAAAAACTAAACAAAATGTCAAAGCCAGTATTCCCAGTAGATGGCAGCAGCAGCTAAAATAGCTGAAAGGAGGTTAATTCCATCCTGAGCTAATTTCCAATTAGACCTCATCAGCCTCCAGCCCTATAAATGTCAGGTGTAAATCATATAAAACTCTAGACAGTCCACTTACCTCTTACCCCGAAGCTTGGCTCAATGAAACTATCTCATTGTGCCTCTGCGCTGCCCTTTGTACTTGGCAAATGAATCTGATTTAAGGGACTAATTGGTATTTAGCGACAGTGAAAGAGTTGAGAGGAGTGCACATTTTGACAAGTTGTACTTCAGCAATGTGCAGTGAATTCAAGTATAAACACTTGAAATGTTTAGACTGAGTTAAGGTTTAGGATGAGACCTTTGTCACTGCAGACATTTTGACATGTTGCAGAAGGAAAAGCACACGTGTAATGACTAACATTGATGATCCAGTGTATATAGTGTATTCATTGTCCTCATTTTACAGTGAAAACACCTTTTGCAATGACTAATTAAAGTCTCCAAACTGTAAAAATGAGCAGGCACTCGATTTTCCTACTAGCTTCCTTCCGGCTAGGAGTTTGTGATTCAAATGTAACTAACTTGGTTTCACATGCCAGTATTTAGCTCTGGGTCTGATAAGGTTCTGTATGTTTAGCTACACTGTGTCACATTTGATACTGTTAATTATACATTCCTCCTTCCCTTACAGTTTTAGGATGCATTAATTTGGTCTACTATCGGTATTAATAACAATTGGGTTTTGAATGGATCCATAAAGGTCTTCCATAGGGGAACACTTTGATTCTCCCTATATAATAATAATAACATATATCAATCTATAAAACTTCTAGCAGCTTCCTCTAAGTTCTTGGCAATATTTAGTTTACAAGTAGATTTTCAGGCCCTACAACTGGCTGTTATTGATCTTAATACCAAATGCAAAGAGAAAAGAGCAAAAGATCAGTGGGTAACTCCTGGTACATGTGCCTTGGGTGGATTTCAAATTGTACAACCTTCAACGTTGGTGATAAGCTTTTTGTCGTCCAATATGTTCGGAAACTCATCACTGCTGCAGACGTTATAGGTCTTGATATTTAACAGCTGGCAGCTTTAGGACTTCACTTACAAAGGTGTGGAGACTGACCTGCACTCTTTACTATATAATTATAGAACCTTTTTGAGAAAACAGCCTATATATCTTACATGACTTCTGCAGTACAGGAAAGCACACACCTTCACTATATTTCAAGACTGGCACCAGTGTAATACCAACTAAATAAATATTTGCTCCACTCAGATGAAATCAAATGCAGCAAGACAAAAGTAGATCTCCTAATGTTTCTTAACTGGTCGTTTACACCTGTACCTGCAGTGGTTAGGTTTGTTTGTAGAAGTCTAACTAGGCTTTTACACCATATACTTGTATCTAAACTATTTTGATGTCTGAATGTTTTATCCTGTTGGTTATTCTATATATATATTTTATTGCAAATACAATATAACATATAATAATAAAAAAAAATGTGTGCAATATTATATTATGTTCTTATTGTTCTGTGTACACAGTGCACCAACAGAAAACAGCCATTCTCATCACCTGTTAGGTGAGCATGAATTGTCCAAACTGCCTTTAATTAAATTCAAAACTTTTTTTGTGTTTTTTTCCGCATACCAGTTATGGTTCGTTGAAGTTATTAACGAGTCATATTATTCTTTACATTTACCTATGTTATACTGACAATAGCTGAGCCAAAAAGATATTGTGGGAAAAAAGCGTATCTGTCTTGTTTGACTCCCCTTAATACCCGTAGTTCAATGCTATTAATGCGGAAATTGCTATGAATGGCTACAGCAATACCGATATTTGCGTGTTTTTGTTGTTTTTTTAAGTGTTTAGATATATAATATAGAAGCAGAGTGTTATATACCAAGACACGTGGCTTTGTAATATGTTGTTTGACAACGCGTCCCTCTGAAATGGGATGTTATGTCGTTATAAACTGTGCAGGAAGCGTCATGTCGGTTGCTAGCTAGCCTTACTAACTTAACGTTAACTTACTCGTCCCTTAAAGTGTCCGTTAACCAGCAAAATGAAAGTACGTTCGTCTGTTTTCGCCTCGTTTATTTTAATACTTGAAGTGATTGGCGTTGCCCTCTTCCTGCGGGGATTTTTCCCTGTGCCTGTCAAGTCGTCTCTGTCATCCAAGAGCAAGCTGTCAGATCTGCCAGCGGAGCCGCTGACAGGTGAGTTCACAGCGCTCAGACTTACCTGCGTTTATATGCGAGTGTCTGTTGACTGTAATCTTTTCAAAACACAAAATATTTTAATTACAGGGAGCTCTCCCAACTCCTCTCGCCTCCCCCAACCCCTTTTTAAAAGGGTGGTTATAATGTTAGTGGACGCCCTGCGGGAGGACTTTGTGTTTGGACCCAATGGTCGCATGTATATGCCCTACACAAGACACCTGGTGGAAAGAGGCTCATCGCACAGCTTTGTGGCCAAGGCAAGACCTCCGACTGTCACCATGCCCAGGATCAAGGTAAGCTGTCACTCAGGTATCATGATGTGGATATTCAAAGGAGTATTCACCCACCAAGTCTGTCCACTCTGTATCGTCCTGCTCAGGTCATGAGTCTGTTTGAATTCCTTGTTTTGGATTGGCTGGTAACAGCAGAAAAGTTGCAAATAACTTTACTGTAGGTAGTCTATTATTCAAATTAGTCCAAATTATCAATATTTCACCAGTTCTCTCCAAAAAATAAAACTAAAGCACTATGGAACTGTCATTTTTAGATGCATATCTTTAAATCGGACTTTCATGCAAAACTTAATTGATTTAACAAGAGATACACAGAAACAGCCTGAAGACTGTCACTAGAAGCTAAAGATGCAATTATTTAAAGGACGAGGCAGATGTTATACTTTTCTTATTGTCAACAAATCCCATGGAAAGACCAAGGCCAGCAATGTGTTTGTTCGTCTCTGAATACTTCCCCACTACCTCCCTGCCCTGTGTGTTTCTTTCAGCCCCAAGACTCTGTGCCTACTGAAGATGGAAAGGTTTAAAAACTGGTCACAAATAAATGGACAGTTTGAGTTTTTATAAGGAAAAGTAATTTTCTAAAACAACATAAATGTTAGTGGTCAGCCAAACTTTGATATGTACTGTTTCCAGAATACTAGGTCCATCCAGCTAAAGGTAATGCAGTCTAACACAACAGCGCTGCAGGAAAAACTAATATTCAGGTGTTGAAACAGTTTTAGAGAGGTGTTGGTTCAACTGAATAATCATTTTGGAGGCTGCAGTTTGTGATGCTGATGAAATGCATTGTGTTATATAACTGTCCATTTATATCAGTGAGGGTGTATTGGACCCCTAAATGAACAATTTGAAGTCAATCTTAGACTATACTGCTAATATTTAGTACTTAACTTCATTCACTCAACAATAGACTCACTGTGCTACTCAGTGCCTGGCTGCGAGACTAATTTCCCCTTAGAGATACTAAAGTTTAGGTAAAGTGATGTATTTTTTTTTATAAGTTTGTTATCCTGAAGATTTATTAAATGCTTTTTTATGAATGATTTGCATCGGAAAGTAGTGCAAAAACATTTAATTAATTGCTTGAAAATTTTAATCAAAAACATTAGGTTGTTTGTGATACATAAGCACCACTCATTCACTGCTTCCATCCTCTCAAATGTAAGGATTTCCTGCATTTCTCTGTTTTTATGTCATTATGAGTTGAATATCTTTGAGTTTTGGACAGTTGGTCAGACAGCAGGAGTCATTTGAAGTTGTCTCCTTGGGCGCCGAGAAAAGTTTAAATTCCTTTATCATCAATATTTCATCCAGTCCATCACAAGAGGCGCAAGTGCTGGAGCCAGAAATACCCGAACAGTATTCCTATGAGCCCAGAATAATTAAAAGAAAAGTGTGAGGAACATTTTGAGATAGGTGCAAAGTTTTAAGCCTTATAGTGTTACAAGGCAGACTTTGAGAAGGATGAAAACATGGGTGTGTTGTCACATTTGGATGAGGTGTCATGCTGATGAGAGTATTTTGGGAGGAGAGCC